TTTTGGCGTTGTGGTCCATGGGCTTGGCGCCCGTGCTCTGGCAGGAGCCGTGGTCGCGGTGGCCGTACAGCAGGTACTCCAGCTTCATGTCGCTGGAGGAGGAGGAGCCCCAGCCGTGGCTGTGGGGATCCTTGCTCATGTTGGTGTTGTAGTTGTGCGGCTGAGACACGTGGGAACCCCCGGGCCCCATACTATCCATTCCCTGATCGTAGAAGCTGTTCTTCCTCACCTCCTCCATGGCCAGCTCCTTCAGGATGGCGTCCTGAGCGCGCATCCCGTGGTCCCCGGGAGCCTGGTTCTCCCGGGTCTTCATGTTGGTCAGCTCGCGTTTCTGCGTGCACAGGTTATCCAGGAAGTTGATCCCCAGGATCTGGCCGGATGACATCATCATATTGATGTCCTTCTTCCTCACGGCGAGCCTGGCTGTGTACATGTAATTCAGCACCTCCTCGAAGATGTCGGAGCGGATGAAGTCCAACTCCACGATGGAGTTGTCCTCGTCGCTCTGCTTCTTGAAGAGCTTTTTGAAGTAGTTGCTGCAGGCGGCCAGGACGCAGCGGTGAGCCCTGAACTCTATGTTCTCCACCACCACCACCACATCACAGTGCTCACCTTCCATCCTCTGCTGGTTGAGCATCTTCAGAAAGGTGGCTTTGTGGTCATAGTCGATATATCTCAATAAATCAGACATGTTGCAGGTCAAAGTGGAACAACCTGCAGAGGGAAAAAACAAACAAATGCTCAAATATTTTCACCCCACAACTAAATGTAAGCCTTGAATACAACCGGCTCAGCTGAGGGGTGGAGCTCTATTTGCATGCTGCTTATAGCGATACACACATTCACACATTATTACGGGACTAACATGCAACCTACAGCACATGTGTGCACAGGTGAGCGTCAAAAAACTGCAGAGTAAACAAAAGTAGCTGAATCAATCATGCACAAGTCCTTCAGGGAAGAAAAAAAAAACAACGACAGGCCGCGGCTGCAATAAAAGCCGCAGTAATGCTAATCAAAAAAACACACAACCGCTCACAGGAACAAACACACGCACTTTTCTCAACTTAAATCGGGCGTTTTTGCCGCTCAGTTCGCCTGACAGTCCGCGCTGGACAACCTGAGCGAGAATATTTCACATTTCACTGCGCCCAGCCATTTTGGTCAGCAAGCCTCCATTGGCATGTTTCTGGTGTTCTTTAAAGCAGTTCACAAACAGCGAGAGAGAGAGAGGGAGAGAGAGGGGAGAGAACACGGCGGCGAACACGGGCGGAAAAATAAAACCGCGCACAAACGCGGCGGCGGCTTTTATTTCTCTGCGCCGTCCCGAAGCGACGAAGAGGGAGGGAAGAAAATTAAAAGTGTTTAATACCCGAAGCCTGAACGCGATCCCTGTGTTGTCACGCAAGGCAGTCGACGACGATCCAGAGCTGTCGTTTTTCCTCTTCCTCCTCTTGTTGTGACTGCTGGGGCTCCACAGGAAACGTCGCGTCGCTCTGCCGCCCCCTACAGCACCGGAGCAGGTACTCCACCGAGATCGTCTATGTGCGAGGAGGAGGGCTCACTCCGTCTGCTCCTCAGGGGACCCTGTATTTTACTGAAAGTCATTACGTTTGGATCACTTACATTTACTATTTACTTCGTGTATGTAAAGTAAAACATATGTTACATTCATTAATAGTGCTTATGTGGAATGTGGTTACACTTATGTTTAGAGTTTACTTTGTATATAGGCTCGTTATTTTATTTCTATTTTCCATTTTTATGTATATACCTATAATACATTAATTTGTATTCTGTATATTGTGTTAGATATTGTATATAAGTACTATTCTTTAACGTTGTGTGAGTAGAACAACTGTAACAAACAAATGTCCCCCCAGGGGATCAATAAAGTATTTCTGACTAAAAAACATTGTTCTTGCACATTTCATATAGTGTATATATTTTTCATTTAGCCTATAGTTTTCTATTTTCTATTATACTTTGTAATATTCTTATTTGTGATAAGATTGTATGTACACTGTACTCTTTTCTCCTACGGGGGATTAATAAAGGTATATCTTATTTTATTCTGATGTGTTTGTTCAGTTTAATTAATTAATCAATTAATTAATATGTACTTTATTAATCCCCAGTTGGGGAAATTCTTCTTTATACTTATTTTTTATACACACACTCGTGCACATGCAGGGGCTTGTGGACATACAAACAGGGAGAGAGATGGTGGAGTGATGGGCTCGTCTCATTAGTGGCGCCCAGGAGCAGTTTCTTGGGTTTCTTGCTTAAGGGCACCTCGGCAGTGCACAGGAGGTGCACCTCTCCAGCAACCAGTCCACACTCCATATTGTGGTCTGTGGGACTTGAACCGGCAACCCTCCGGTTCCCAAGCCAAGTCCCTACACACTTGAGTAACTGCGATTTTGTTTATGTATACTTTTTTAACAGTTGGATTTGAACCCTGGTTCCAGCCTCAGTGCATGAGGCGTCATCTCTACTATCCAGGCGTCCCTATATTTTATCACTGTTATGTATGTACACACATACTTTATTGATTTATTTAATGTTTAATTGAAATATTTTTATGCACCAGAGTGAGTTATAACAATGACAAACCTTTTTAGGTAAACTCAATAAAAGCAAAATAAAGAGGTGTTTAGGTTGGTGGCAGGTTTGCAGATGCTAAATGACACCAACCCTGGTTCCATCTGGAAGAGGCTAAAACAGTTAAACATAAATTTAAAGCCCCCTCAGCTCCGACGAGTTCTGCTGTCACTTTCTAAAGACAATGGGACAGTCCTGACCCCATCCTCTGTGACTCCATTCTCCAGCTCCACTTCCCCCTTCTCAGCAGGAGCCTCTCATCCTGACCTGCATCCTGGACCTCAACAGACCTTTCATGAAGCAGAACCCCTGCAAACACAAACAAACTCTCCCACCTGCAGGTGGATTACTGACTTCTTGTCAGACAAGATGCAGCACATGTGGCTGGGAAAACATGTCTCTGAGTCCTCGACCCCCTAGACCATCAGCCAGCCCCTCCAGTGATCAGTCCTCCTATGACCTGAAGTTTGTGGATGACACCACCCTCACTGGACTCATCTCTGGTGGGGATGAGTCTACAGGAGGGAGACTGACCGTCTGGTGACCTGGTGCAGGCAGACCAACATGGAGCTCTAAAGACAGCAGAGATGGTTGTGGACTTCAGGCGCCATCATCTGACTGTATTATTCGCTCTGTTGAGGAGGCGATTGACTAAAACCTGCCTTCCCTTCGGAAACATGTAATTCTCCAGGACCCCTGTGGGTGTCCCCTCCAGCTCTCGACATAAACGTTTTGAGACACTCCCCTCTCTCACACCATAAAAACAATTATTTCCCTGACTGCTGTTGGTCTCATCAACAAGAATATAATATTGTCCTGTTGAAATGAGAAATGTATAAATGGAAAACACAGTCGCTCTGACAAAAGGATCAGCACAGAGTTTCCAGTTGAACAAAAAAATTTGGCATTAAAATCCACTCTCCATCTAAATAATATATACATAGATAAACTTAAATCGGAAAAATATGTGAATATTTATATACAGACCACTGATGTCAGACTATTGCATCATAAACTAAAAAAGCTACTCAAATCTTTTGCACACCATTTTACTGCATATTGCATATAGTGTATATATTTTTAATTTATAGTCCTATATCTTCTATTATATTTAGTTATACTGTGATTCTTATTGTACTTGTACACTCTGTACTCTTTGCACTACATTCCCCTACACTGCTGTGTCTGACTTTAATTTCTCCTACGGGGGATCAATAAAGGTAAATCTTGTTTTATCTTATCTTATAAATATTAAAAGGACCTACCTGCTAGATTTCTTAGTATTTATTTAGCAAATAAATAACATGAAGTTCATGCATCTAACAGGTCCAAAAATCGACATGCAAAAGAGAATAAGACAATTACTGTAAAATAAATGGTTAAAGTCTTTATTTTAAGCTGCCTTGAACAATAAATAAATATTTATTTACAGTCTAGAGACATATTGGTGACATATACACACTGCATATGCCCTAATGTGTTTAAATGATCAACACAAACACAGTTAATGTTCATTTTGTCCATTTCGTTTCTAAGTAGGTAAAAAAGAGAGATTATTTGTGGAATAAAAGATCTGTGAATTGAAACAGATCAGCTGCTCGTCCTTTATGTGCACCCAGCAACAGAAACAGAGTGAGAGCTCTTACCTTTTGTCTCTCTCTGACTCACACGCACGTACACAGGAGGGGGCGGGGCTTCAGGAGCCTGCGCGTATTCAACGTAATTAATTACCTGAAGCAGCAAAAAGCCCGCAGCCCGAGGGTTTCTTTTAACCGATAAATGAAGTGTTTAGAGCATTTGGGTTAATGAATAATAGATGGACTGTCGTTTACGGATTAAACCCCACCTTCACATTTATATATTCATTTCTATTTAAAGATAAATTTAAACTTGAAGATTTTAATAATCACACGTTGCTCATCAGGTTATTTTAGAGCCTGAGGATATACAATGTCTTTAATTGCTCAGGTCTTCATATATATATATATATATATATATATATATAAAAAGAATAGGTATTTATTTGTAGGTTTCTGTCATAGGAAGACATTAAGATAATAATTTGTGTCTTGTCACAAAAATGTAAACTCAGCAAAGCTCTTATCTGAATTATGTAACAACTTTCTTGAAAAAATGTGTTTAACACTTACTCAATAGTGCTAAAAGACATCAATAATCAATCAATGGGTCCAATGGTGACACAGGTTTCAGGACTGTGGTAAACATTTTATTATTTGAGAAGAAAACAGCAAATTAAAACAAATGCATTTGCCACTTTTATTTCACCGTTTTGAGGAAAACATGGCTGTACAAGAACAATACTCGGTTATTCAGATACAGTTGAAGGGAGGCAACAAGTTGACATGTTCAGGGCTGTGGTGGTGGTGGTGGTGGTGGGGGGGTTTTCTTGACAGATCTCTCTTGGCTTTGCATCTAATTTGGGCAGAGCTCGGCAGTCTGAGCCCTTTGCCTCACAGTCACACGAACCTGGGACTTGTGCTGCAGCCGATCATCTAACCCGGGAAACATTCAAAGCCCGCACAGGCACATAAAAAAAAAAAAAACCTATTCCTTCGCACAGAAATTTTGATTCATTGGCAATTTCCGCCAAAATAGATCCTCTAAGAAGTGTTGAAGTGGTAGAATCAGTCGATGAGAAACAATAAAAATACTGAAATGATCATAAAAAGGAAAATGCAATTCAAGTAGACGCCAAAAAAAAAAAAAAAAAAAAAAAAATCAACTGTGAAAGATAATTTGCTATTCTCCTAGGAAAGCTTTGGATATGTACAGTACTGGGCTGTAGTGATTTCTGTAGTGGCATACCTGACGGAGAAAAATCATCGGGTTGTGTGGGAGTGGGTGAGGCAATGCTTGCTGGCAAATAAGGTTGGCACTTCTACAGCAAGGTTAAATAGTGTATGCTCCCTAACATATACAGCCTACAGCGATGTTTAAGTTTCTGGAGTGATGGCTTTATTTCATAAATAAAAACGTTGCTACAATAATTATTCTCAATAATCATAAAAATGCATCAAAGTCATAAGGCAGTGAAAGCAACAGGTCTGCTTGCTGCACACAGGGATTCGGCGTGCAGATGGGATCGAGAACCATATATATTTTTTTGTAAATCGTACAGTTTTCAGTATAATCTTGCCGTTTTTTGTTTTGATAATGCAACATTGCGTCCTTCTCATGCAAAAAATGCATTTATTTGTTTTTGCAGGTGATGTTTTTTTGCGACTAGCGGCGAGCTGCAGCATTTGGAGAGTAGGAGCCTTTCTAGTCTTCTGAGATTCCCCGGAGTAATATATGAGTTCTGGATGTTGGATTCTGGGAGGTTGAACAGAAAACAGCCCTCAAGTGTTACTCCTGGAGGAACAGAGGAGACAGCAGTTAGTACCATCCTGCATATTTCATCACATCTGAACCTTCAGCCTGCCAAAAGACTAAAAATGAACCTCATAAAAAGGTTACGGCAGTTTTACCCCCATAAATAGATGCACCGAGGGACTACAGAGTTACAGAAAAATGCACACAGATACACACACAGGCTTCTTGGGCACTTTCTGGCAATAGCTATTTTAAAAACAATGCTTTCCCAAAAATGAATACTTTACTATTCATTCTGACTGTGACCACAAGCAATGAGTCAGAAAGGCTGCTGTCAAAAACTGAAGAACAAAAACAGAAAAAAATTCTCTGTAAACATGTGGTTTGAATTTTAATTTTAGTCCATCAAAATTAAAAACATGTCACACACACACACACCACGCTTTGTTTACCAAATCTGCTATCTTGCCTTCATCAAAGAGAGAGAGGGGGGAGATTGGGAGACATTGCTCCTTATAAAAGGGAGGCATTCATTTCTAAATTGGGCACTTTAA